ATTTATAAAGGAAAAACAATCTGAGAGGGTCGCTACAACACTGGGGTTACAATGAACTAAGAGTAAATACTCCCAGTTCACTGTAACTGGGGCGCCCGACGGGATATGAATAAGTTTTTCTTGTTTTGTTTTTTTGGTCGTCGTGTGATTTCTTCACCGATAAGGTCAATATACAGAAGGGACACTTAGTTTGACACATGTGCGCCAAGCAGAGTAAACACTAGACACACTAAAAACGGTAGAAACTCCGAAGTAAAAAAAGGCGGTACTATGAGTGTATATTGGGCCGTTCAGGGCAAAGAAGAGGCCAGCGGGAAGCCGCACGAGGGGAAGCACTCTCCTCCGATAAGCAGGTTCCGCACAATATATCGATTGCCTGTCCTCCGTGCAACCCTCGTCACACGATGCAGCACAGGCTTAACGTATGATGGGACACACGTGTTCCGCGGCAAATGCTCCTCGACGTGTACTTCTGTTCTTCTATAGGGCTTACGCAGAGGCGTGCGTCAAGACAGCCATATATCTTTATTAAGTCAGGTCTGTTCCGCGGTTAATGTGAACGTAAAAAAAAAAAACAGCGCGGGTATACGAAAGACAACATGACAGGGCGCTGGCCTGTCGCATTTCTTCTCTCGTATACCCGTTTTACACGTATGGCTCGACTACGCCGTCTAGTTCAGGTGGAGCAGTGGTTATACCATCACAAGGGGTCACTCGGCGTTTTAAGACTTCACATGCGACAACGTCCACAACGGCAGAGCTCCAGCCTCTGCATAGTGCACTGGAGCTCATCAATCCTGAAGAAAGACCAAGTAAATGGGCCGAGTTTTCCTGACTCAGAACCAGCGTTACAGTGCCTGCGGTCAGTTAGCTCTCGAGGCGGATGCCACGACCAGTTAACCTACCAAACCGTGACACTTCACCACCTCTTAATACAAAAAGGCCACGACATTGTCTTTGAATGGTTACCTGGACATTGTGGTATAGGCGTAAATGATTCTACAGATCATGCTGCTCACACGTCACATGAAGAAACAAACAGCGTTTCAATTCCGCTTTCAAGATGCGGAAGTGGCGAGGCACCTTCGTCAAATGGCTCGCAGCCTCACACTGACTGAGTGGAACACACCAAGCACATAACGTACAAGACTGCACGAGCTTTGCTCTTCACTACAACTCCAGCCTCCACCCGGCCTACTTCGACGTGAAGCTTCGCTTCTCTAGCGCCTTAAGCTGGGAGATGCTTTCACGAAAGCTTATACCACTTTAATCGGAATGACTGACACTGCGGCAGTGCTATGTTTGCGGCACCGATGAAAATATCGAACACCTGCTGTGCCACTGTCCTCGATTTGCCTCAGACAAGTACTTGCCAACGCAATGCGGCGACTGGAGGATCGGACTTTCCTGTGCAGATGCTCTTACAGCAACGTCCACATCCCTCGACAGCCCACAAGGCAGTGAAAGCCCTGCTGTGTGTTCTTGAGAAAGACGGGTTTGTGTGAACGCCTCTGACATGCAGTGGAGTTCTACACGTACGCTGCGGTGAAATTACTGTCAGTTTCTTCTTTTTAGGGGCGAAGCTCCTTATAGCGGCACCCGTTCGTCCCTCGTAGCCGTTGTAGTGTGTAACAGGTATAACATTTTGACCTCCAAGGTGGTGCCGATGAGAGATTTATTCTGTGCGTTGTTGAACAATAAAAAAATAGTGCTCAGTGTACATGCCGATGACTGCTAATGGGGAATGAGAGACAAGAGCATTCGACATTTAGTTAACGCGCACGCTGCGATCCCAATTAGCAGCCATTGGCATGTACATTGAGCACTATCTGACAAGAAAGGGTTGCTACGTTATACTTGCTGGGTGTAACCAGGGCGTGCGAGGAAAACGCTCCTTCTGAATCGGCAACTGTGATCATGCCCCTAGTAAGATGGCTGCCGCAGCCGCCATCTTACGGTTGGCACGGCTTCACTTGTGGGCAAGAATTTCCATTTCAGCACTTTTTAAAATAAAATCTTCGGTTCTTACGTGGGAAACACCGTTATGAACGCTACGCAATGCATTCGCATTTCCTCACGATTCCCTTCGGGGAGGTGGGGACATTTTTTTTTTTTTGCCCTTTTAATGTAAGCGATTGTGATCAAGAATGTTTTTGACCATAATGGCGGCCGAGTAGTTATAATTTCACGCTCTTAGCACGGTTCACTTCCATTTTTACTCCCGGAAATGCGCGGCAGGCTGTTGTGAACGGTACGTCTTGGCTCAATCTTCACTCTTTCACTCACTGCGAAGAAGGATTCGGCCCACGGGAGGGTACTGCCAGCCGAACCTATGCGCAACTCTGCTCCCCTGTGCATAGGTCCGGTTAGCAACCATAGCTATGCGGTGAAGCCACACTGTTCATGCAGGCCACATGCTTTAGCGAGTCGCCGATCTAAGTGTCTGAATTGAAATTTGCAGCGATTCTATTCTTTTCAATTAATCGGAATGAAAAAGCTCAGCCCACTCCCACTCAGGGAATGGCCATACAGGTCAATTACATTCCAGCAATTCATGAATGTAGGAAAGGCATATCTTCATAACATCATCGAGCTAAGAATGATTGTAACATAAAGCTGATGTCATCACAGATACATAAGAACAGCAAAATTACGCAGAACATGTTACCATGGTCGAGGGATAGTAGTTTGGTGACTTATCACGGTGCAGTACAACCACACTACTGGTTCCCATAGGGGCTGTTCTCCTGCTACCTGCCCCGCCGCGGTGGTCTAGTGGCTAAGGTACTCGGCTGCTGACCCGCAGGGCGCGGGTTCAAATCCCGGCTGCGGCGGCTGCATTTTCGATGGAGGCGGAAATGTTGTAGGCCCGTGTGCTCAGATTTGGGTGTACGTTAAAGAACCCCAGGTGGTCTAAATTTCCGGAGCCCTCCACTACGGCGTCTCTCATAATCATATAGTGGTTTTGGGACGTTAAACCCCACATATCAATCAATCTCCTGCTACCTATAGTATTTGCATGGTCAGAACAATCTCAGAAAATAATGTTAGTAAACAACTAAGGTTGCACGGCGGGCTTGTTGGTTATTCATGTTGTTCGAGGTATAGCGCAACTGTTAGTAAACAGTTGGCAACGCATGTACTTACTTGTTTAGAGCGTGTTTTAATACCTTCACAGCATATCTTTACCATATAGCCAGCAGCTAGTAAAGCTTGAAACTTTTGCCGTTACTAACCAGGTATGCTTTCTTGGTCTATTTAACTATAGCTATCAGCCACATACGTTGCTAGACCTCTCGTAAACATCACCGTTTATCTTGCAGTAATCGTAACACTCTTCACAAAAATTTAGAGCAATGTTACTTTTGTCGATTACTTTGAAATAAAAATATCGTGCTATATGACACACATATATGCATAGAAGGGCAGACAATGCTGTGTACAAAACGTACATTATTTTTCTAAATTCTATGACTGCTAACGTGCACAGTGTGCTATCCCTAAGTAGGAGCAAAAATAGCCTTGAAAGGGCTGCTACAATAGATACCGGCTTATTCTTGATATTCTATGTGCGCGTTTGCGTGTATTTCCTCGCCTATGATTCGGGCATGCCTCCATGTATGTTGCTGCAGTGCGTACTTGCCATGGTAATTACATGAAGTAAACGGTGACCACCAATTATTTTACGTAGACAATGTCACTTCATTATTATCTTACATATAATTCTGTAATATATTTATCTTGATGTGGCAATGTACATATAAGCGCGAGTCAACTAAAATTTCAGTAATGTATCACTCAAGTCAGCACTGTTCACGAACTACTTAGAAAACTAGAAAGTTTCACTAATTCGCATTTTACTACCTTCACTTATTCGGAGGTTAGTGCCTTTGGTGACAAGTAAATGGTCAGTATTAAGTTAGTGATTATGCAGGCCTTTTTTAAATGCGAAACATTTCTTTGCCTGGCTGAAGAAATTTTCGACGTCTATCTGCGTATCTGTCTATCTAGGTGCCTACGTCTGGAATTAGTACGAAAGGTAAGATGATTCGACTATTGGTCGTGACATGAATAATATCACAATCCCGTCGCGTACGTCGTCAAACACTTCCCGCCAAGCAGTGGCACATACCCACGGGCAGGTATGCGCCAGTGGTAAGCGCGCGCATGCGTCGCAGGTGAGTGGCCGCTAATATGTACCGGCGACAACAGACATGAGTAATTTAAATCGGAGAACATTAAGAAAATCTGACATCGGCAGCGTTAGCCGTCGAACGTCAGGGTACCAGCAGGAATCGAACCATTCTGCGTGGCAATCTACCACAGAGCCACGCCACGTGTCGGTATACTGCAGCTCAGGAAAAATGCACTATTCAGGTACCATGTTGGTGAAACGTCAATTGTGGTTGCAATACTGGCTATCCAATTTTGTAAACATTACAATCGTCCTCCTATATGACATAGCCATCTCGTCGAGTGAACGTCAGTTGCCGGTTCACTGTTCAGGCATACCATCCTAACGAGCACAATTGCGTTACATATCAGCTTACATATCAGCCAATACTCGTGTTGCTGTTGGCATCGTTGCGCAAGTGTAAACAACCAACTGATAATATAAAAGATGGGCGACTTTCAACACCCAGACAACGCTCCGACAACCTGAGGTTGTCCTGAGGATGACCTACACCGTACGAAAGTATGACCTGAGGAAGCCCTCAAATGAACCTCAAGTGGTCCTAAACCAGTCCGTTTGTCCGGCCTCAGATCGTCCTCAGGGCATCCAGAAAAGAGCACATTATGATGAGTCTAGTACTTTTTGAGGACGAAGCATACAAGACCTAGGCACTCATCAGACCTTACGAAAAGTTGCTCTAATTCTTCTTTTGGAGCGCTGAAATGACAACTGATCAATCAAAAGTGCCTGAACATGCACACTCTTTAAAGCACTGCCTGTGAGGTTTCAGTAACAATTTCTTCAAGTATAGCAATAAAAACAGCAATGCACAGAAAACATGTTTATTTTCAGGAATGAAACTTGGCAGTTTTCACTAGATGAGACTTCTTGCCCTGTGCCTTCAGAGGTCTTCATCCGATGGGCTTGACAACGCGACACTTTGAAGACATTCTGTAGTAATAGAAAGCAGCATATCTTGAAGCACAAGTGAATTTAGAGTATCAATAAGAATATTAAGACAATAACAGCATGCCAGATTTGAAAGCATAAAATGAAAATTATATTACCATAATGTGCAGGTACGAACTAGCCATTATATAATGGTGAAAATGATTTATATAGTTCATGCTTGCATACACATCAAAATTCGAGTAAGGCAAGAAAATTATTTAAACTATAACAGCAAAAGTATCATATGTTATGATAGCTTCAACAGCACAGATAATAAAACTCACCCTCATGGTGAGTGCGAGAAGTTCTTAAGCGCTGCTTCTGGAGCTTTTCCCCAGCATGCCGAAGCCACACTTTAATCACACACTCGATGTCATTTTTTTTTGTTTCCGGAAAATTTCGCCTCACGGCCTCTGAAAAAGTACAAAGTTCATAAAACAGGAATTACACAAACATAATACATTAATATAATGCTACATAGGTTGTTTGAAGAAGTACCTCTAGTCAGCATGATCGACATTTTGATAGGTGGGCACATCATCATTAAAGGTCCTTGCCATCCTTCCCCATGTTAATTTCAAGAGTACTGACATTGACACTATGTGTTGCATTACAAGAAGAACACCACGAAGAAGACATCATTGTAACTTTTTTGAAACCTAGCATGCAAAGAATGATGAGGCGCCTTTGACGAAAATACGTCCATGTATGAAAATGTTGACCAGCTTGTCTTAGGTACTTATTCCTGTTTAGAGATCCTCAGTGATCACTATGAGCTTCCATCTGTTAGTTTTCATCTGTACATAAGATTTCCACTACAGTTAAGAATGCCTAGTAGTGCTACCTGATAATAACTTCTGCAAGTAGTGAATGCTTGCGTATGTGTGCCATGCAAGTATACTAGTGTGCTTGAAGAAGCTGCAGGGTTTCTTACTGACAACAGATATTTCATGCTAAAAATTCTTGGTAGTTCTGCACAATCTTGCAGCACTCGCTGTAGGCCTGCACTGAGGCCGAAATGATGGTATTTCCCGCCGGCCAGCTGCAACACTTCCAGGCACTTCTTGGGCGTCTGTAACAATGCCCTTGCAGTTGAAGGGAGCGCGCTGAAGCATTCGTGGGACTGTAGTACTCTCAAGAGCGATGTAACTGAAGTGTGCGATGCGCGAGATTGTAAGGCCCACGCTTGCAGTCTCTCACGAAAGGCCAGCAAGCTGTCCACACTGCCGCGTTCACAAACTTGCTCTTCGTTACTTTCAGTCGGTGCCAATTCGAAAGAATCCCTCTGCCTCACCTGCGAGGTCGCCGAAGTCGAAGCCGCAGCGCTGCTGTCATGGAAGGCACGCCGTTCGAAGTCTGTGTGATCGTGAGGCACAGAAACACTGCAGCCGCTGGGGTAGCACGCGTCGCCAGAAATCAAAACGTGTCCTTGGGGCACATCCGTTTCTGGAACGATCGAGGAGTGTGCCGAAGGCCGTTCTCTGTCATGAACACAAAGGCGACGATGGCCGTCTTCGAGGTCGACCGCACAAGCCTCGGAGGGCAAGTCGCTCTCTCTTTCGGCGTTGCGGGAATCTCGGTCAACGTACCGCGTGTCATTTATGACATCGGCCTCACTGTCAATAAGCTGAAAACTAGCATTGACGCGCCGATTAATTTCACGCCGAAATTTGCGATCCGCGCTCTCAGCCATCTTGAACAGCACAGAGCACAGTAGAATGGTGGCTAGACCAAAGAACACCCACCACCAGAACACGTTGTTAGGCTAGTCAGTTGGTTTGTACATACATACATGAATAAGCAGTAAAGATATACAGCGCGAGGCTGAAAATCAACTGTCCTCTCTTTTTTTATTTATTTACCTTTGCGGCTTACAACTTCAATATGAAAATTTAACAGAAGACACTCACCTGGCATGCTTACGATTCTTTGAGGGCTTCTGCGAGAAGCTTCCTCTATGGCGAGAAGTGTTGTATTGGAATGTTGACTCGACCAATGACTCGACTTGACTTACTGCAGGCCCATAATGATGATGATGATAGTTGCGTCACTTTAAAATGGGTAAACAGTGTCGTAGACATCCAGATTTAAAAGCACCTTGACTGCGCATGGTGACCGCATTAAGGTACTGCTTTTTTTTTGTTAGCACCACCACAACTTCAGTCGCCCATTCGTTTTCCCACAGCGTTCTAGTTCCAATGCTGCTCTATTCACGATAACCTAGGCCAGCCCAGTCGTCAGCATGGTCAGTTGTCGTCTGCTCGATGGGACCGTGCGGCATTGCAACACTGGACACTCGAGAATAACGTGCTCGCTATTCACAGTTTTCACGCCTGCATTCATTTTGGAGCCGACACCGTTTATACTCGCACCAAACTTGGTCTGCCGCACGTGCGTTCATTGGGGAAACGGGTCAGACCACAGTCAGTGCGATATAATTCCGTATGCACGTCGGCGGTAGATCACGACCAACGAAAACGTGCAGGCAGAAAGTTTGGCCTACGATCACTTACAAAGTAAATAAATAAATAATAAATAAAAGAACACGTCTTTCTCGTGTTGGCTTGAAGTGCTTCCTCGTGTAACTATCTCATTTTAATGATCGAGAAGTACTTTACTATTATGACTCGAAAGTAGGCATACGAAATCCCGTGGACTTATTCGTTAACAGCCAGAAAATTAACCAAACACGAATTGCGAAAGCTGCATGCACCTACGAAACATGCATATCCTCAAAACGTCCTCGAGCAGACGATATCAGGACAATTCTTCGTCCTTAAAAAGGTCTCAAAGGGGCATTTTGGGGATAATCCTGCAAGTGTCGACTAGAGGACCAAATGAGGACGTCCTGAAACTGCCGAGGACGTTTGTACCATATGAGGACGACCTCAGGTCGTCGAGTGTTGTCTGGGCATGTCTGTGCGTACAACATTTTTAGATGTATATGCGTCATTTCGTAACGTGTCGCTCAATAACAAAAATGACAACATGGTCACCTTCCCACCGCATGCTTCGCGTAACGTCGATTTCCAAGGTATATACGTGGGATCTGCCGACTTTTTTTCCTAAGAGTGAACGTTTGAACGAATGGCGATGTTTTAATATTGTTTAAGGTTAATTAATGCTAAAATGACGACTTAGCGAATCGTCGCGTAGGGATTAGGGGAGGCGCCGCCTTGGTTACGCACGAGGGACCGCCTGCTTTGACTGGCTACTTGAACCAATGCTTCCAATAGTTTATTATATATCTCCCTGCACGGTTCATCTTGCACAACAGTTCACCGCACACACAGTTCACATGACACACAATTCACATGACACACAGTTCACACGACACACAGTTCATCGTGTATGAATGTGTGCTGCTCTCACCTACAGACCTTTGCGATACAGCTTCGGGCGAAGGCGCCCATCTGTGTAGGCAGGAGGGACAGTATTAAAAAAAAAATGGCAGCATATCTACGGAGTGAATGACGGAGCGTGGGGCGAAGCATTCGTCCGTCCATTCGTTCTTGCTTCCGTCCGTCCGTGTGACCGTCCATGCGTCCATCCGCCCGTCCGTGCGTGCGTCCATCCTTGCTTTCGTCCACGCATCCGCCCCTGCGTCCGTTCATGCGTCCATCCATGCATCTATCTGTGTGTCCGTTCATCCATCTATTCAGCACTCTAAGTACCACCATCTCGCATCTTTTCATCATTTATTTCCCATATAGAAGTACCGCCATCCAGCTGACATTCCAAGGACTAAACGAGAGGTGGCACACGCACACTTTCTTACGGCTTGCGCTTCGTATCTACTTCACACCTTTAACCACCTCGAGTTCATCCATGGTATATACTAGTTCATTGTATTCATGGCACTGCTGCTCAACGCTCGCTAAACCTTTCTAAAGCTAAGGGAGGTTACACCCAGCGAGTATAACGTAGCAACCCTTTCTTGTCAGATAATGCTCAATGTGCATGCCAATGGCGGCTAATGGGGATCGCAGCGTGCGCGTTAACTAAAAGCCGAATGCTCCTGTCTCCCATTCCCCATTAGCGGTCATTGGCATGGACATTGAGCACTATTTTTTATTGTTCAACTACGCACAGAAGAAATTTCTCACCGGTACCACCTTGGAGGTCAAAATGTTATACTTGTTACATACTACAACGGCTATGAGGGTCGAACGGGTGCCGCTATAAGAAGCTTCGCCCCTAAAAAAAAAAAAGAGGAGGGGGGGGCGGCGATAATATGCGAGGTTGTCAACGCACGGAAATGAAGGAACAACTTCCGGGACTGTGCTACGAGAGTCAGTTCCCCCCACCCCCAATCATCATCACAGTAAGCCACACCATACTTCAGTCTCAACAGCGTATGTATATAGGGAGAGGGGGGATCACGCCTATCAAGGGATTAATGGCGGTGCCGACGGAGCACTCTTGTTAAAGCGGTTCACGGCAGCGAGTTCAAGAGGTAGCCCGCGCATCAGCTTCTCCGCAGGGCACAGTTACCAGTGGCGTTAGGAAAACAGATACTCACTTTGCTACGCAAAGGTAGCCTTTGACGAGGGCGCCTCCCCCGCCGAGGATCATCGAGGCACCCGATGTTGTACGAGGACGGTGCGGCGTCGGAGGAGGTTGGCTTGTGGACGTTAGGCTCGCGCGTTCGTCAAGCTTACTGAACGGGTTATGCAGGATAAGTAGGCATCCACTAGCCACCAGTTGTCTCAATACGCGAAATCGCTGATCGGGCGGAAGAAGTGAGGTCTTTACAAAAGCAAATGAAGCAACACATTCCCAAAAAAGCCTTCACTGTGTTAAAAGCAGCTAGTCGGTCGTCTTAAATCTACACAATCTGAAACAAGAAGGCTTCGCAAACACAGGCAGGGAGTGGGCGCTTCAACCTCCCTCTCCACGTTAAATTAAAATTAGTTTTTCTTGCACAATGCCATTTGTGCATGCAAATCCTAATGTGATAGCTGAAGCCTGGTTCCATCAGCCTGAAAGAAGATACGAGAGCTTTCATTCTTCAGACACAACTTCCATCCGCAGGAGAAGCATATCCTTTTTGGGCTGTTGCTCAGGAGTACTTTTGTAGTTATGTTGTAATTATGCGCGACCCCCTGCCTAACTGCCTTTCATTACCTTTCAATATAAACATCCAATACCCCGCTGAAAATTCACCGCCGTCACTCGGCAAACGAATCCACAACAAAATGAAGTGATGAGAAGGACCCAACCAGTTTCACGAAACGTGCAATTGTGTCCAATGCATCTTGTCTCACACGCTGTATCATCGCATGGGTTAACGCCTTTATTCCAGAGACGCCATCCACAAGCTGGGAGGGAGAGGGGTGCAGCAATGGCGAACCCGCGGTACAAAACAAAACGCGGCACTGGCGCACCGTGCGATGCAGGAATGCTTGTCCGGACCACACACACACACACACGCTGCAAGCACGCCTTCCTCAGACTTTCAACACTCGCATACAGCACAGTTCTGCCCTCAATGCAGACAGGGGAGGGAGTAATGTTCTAAACATCGGTTAATTTCGCCAAATTTAATTTGACATGTCAGTCCACATATACTATATATGCATCTAACTATGAAGTTTCTCGACTGGTTCAGGTTACCACTATCAAAGCTAAATTTGGTGACATCCATCATAGTACCCCTTGTCACACAAGTTATTAAAAAGCGTGCGAAACGCTGCCCCAACTTTCTACCCACATGTCTGCCGCTCTGAAACTGGGCGGAGCTGTGCCGTCTGCAATTTGCAAACATGGCCTAGAAGATGGCGTTGTCGACTTATGAACGCCACCACCTATCATAGAGGAAAGGCTCTTGCTGGCAGGTGCACACGTTGGTTGGGGTGCAGCGGAACGAGTGTGGCCCAACGATGGTCCGTCACCAATTATTACCAACACAAGCAGCACATGTTTTGTGCAACCGTCAGGAGCAGCACTGCTTCGAAAAAGCGTGTGAAAACTGTGGTTTGCAAACGAATCAACCCACAGTTGGCTCTTTTCTTGTCCGTACTCCCGGCGTGAGAGTGGTACATACAGGCAGTAACAGAAAAGGAACTGGACACATGGGACCCCCCGTGGTATAAAAAACACCTCCTATGCACGCACGTTGCCGCAGCAGGCATGTGGGCTCAAGCACGACACACTCAACGCAGTCCAGCTTAGCAGCTGCCACCAAACGGTTACACAGCCGGTGGCAGCTTACGAATCTGAATTATACACACTAATGACTTCTCTCTGTACACGGGCGCAACCAACAATCTGGCGTGGCCTGCTCACCCCCAAGTACTTGTCTGTGCATGTGCAACCATGACGACTGTGCAGGGTATGCACCAAAAGAAAACACAGAGGCAAAAGCAGTTAAGAAAAACATACATGTGTTGCAGCAGCAGAAATACAAAAATACTCTTTGGTTCCAATTCCACTACGCTAGACAATGACAAAAGCTTCCTTGCTGAACGGTAAACAAGAAAATAAAATACAGAGAAGAGAGAAAAAACACGAGCACCAAACAAAACTGCACACAAATGGGCACAACCATTCTTGCGAGCTGCTGCCACGATTAAAAAACGACTCTCGCGACAAGCCCACTACCCCCCACAACGCTCCTCAAGGGCCCACTTCAGTAAAGTGCCACAGACCAACACGGCTCAGAGTGTACAGGCTCAGAGAAAAGGTCCCAGCGGTGCCTTTGAAGAGAGATTTAAAGTAGCCTGACCGACCCCTGCAGCTTCCATCTTCCTTACCACCCAGGGCAGTGCTTTAACTAAGCTAAACACAAGGCATCCCAGATTTGAAGTAGGTGACAAGCTCTGGGGAGAGCCTTGGCAAAAGCTGCAGAACTATTATACTATGACCTCCTGGGTTGCTGAAGTTATGTGCTGTCAATGAAACAGAAGCTAAAGAAGTCCTGCTGCACTAGGCACATAGAAGCCCGTCTCGAGCAAACGGACGCACCAATAGCAACAAAAAAGGGGCCCCCACCATGCAAGCCGCACTGCAAAGCGTGCAGCTTTCAGACGAACTGAGCGGTTCAATGCTGCCTGCAGACATCAAAACCGTTAGAAGTTATCGATCCCTCAAGCAAATTGCGTTTTTGAGCTTTGACAACTCAACTTCTCACACATCTGCAACACAGTGTGAAGAGTCCTTCGAATTGATCATGCACCTGGTGAACTGCAATACCTTGCATGAAAAGTAATCTTTGTTTGAAACAAAATTTGAAAGGCTACAGTGCTAGCAGCACTGCTTGCACGGCAGACGCCCCCAGGTCCGGCTAACCCTTGCTGTTCAAGAAAACCTTCCAACCCACGGTGCAGCAGCACAGAGGACAGAGAACAAGGACAGAAGAATCGGAAGCGGCCCACCTCTCCTGGCAGCAAGAGGGGCCGCCCCACGGGCGTGCACACAGCTTGTCACATGCTGCCCCCACTCCAGCCACACCGCACCACCCGCGCTGTCCATCTCACGTAAAGGGACACCGCTCGCGCTGTGACCACTTCCTCTCTTTCGGGACCTCCCATACTTCTGTGCCTCAGTTATCACTCTCATGTTCACAGTGAAGCTTGTGTCGCAAAGGATTAAAACACGCACAATATTAGAGTTTATGGCACTGAATGCCGCCACATATGGCTGCATCTGCAGGCTATGCAAGCTGCCCTCTCCTATCGAGGGTAAGTAGAATCCAACTGAGACCATACACCGCAATGTGAGACACTCATATCAAAACATAGTGAGGAAGTGGCCAAAGTTCGTGGCGCCCGGAGAGGTTTCGCACGTGCAGTGGCGGAAGAACAGACTTGCCTGCTGTGCAGCCCAACACAATGAGGAACCCAGAAGACAAGACATCAGAAAACCACGCTGCAAGAGTAAAAGGCTGGCCTGGCACCTAGGTGCATAAGACGCACTCCATATAATGATTACACATGTCTGCTTAAATACATGCGGCACATTTCACTACTCAGAAAATAAGCATACAGTTTCATTTTCGAGCTTAAAGTGAAAAGGAAAAAATATATATATTAATGAAAATCATAGATCTGAATATTTTCATGACTTGGCTCAAAAAACAGCTGCAGGTGCATGCAGGAATATTTGCATCATTATGAAGGCAACCATTGGATGTACTAAAGGTGTCTTCAACACATCGCACTAGTGCCCACCAGGGTGTCAAGGCACTTTGATAATAGGACAAAGTGGTACACCTACGTGCCCCAGCGCACACCAGTGCAAAATGTCGAAGGTGCAATAAGGTATGGTGAACTCCAAGCTTTGAGCAAAGTCCGCCAGAGGCTCATTGAACATATGCCTCGATCATGGCTATCTAAACGACATCAATAACATCTTTATTTTTTACATACGCCAGCAATGGTGTGACCTTAAGCTTTTGCAGCGTGGTTGCAAGCCAGGAAAAGGAAATAGCAGAACCCCCATAACTCCCTTGCACGTACAAGAGAGACACTACACGGTTCTTATTCACACCCTATAACCCTGAGTCTGAAATCTTTTCGAGTATAATCTAAGCCTACCCCTCGCCACACAACTTACAGTAACTGGCATCTGAAGGTATTTAACTGGCATCAGAAGATATTAAGAAAACAAAAAAAAAAACAAGGGAGAATGAAATAGAAAATCAAAAACGCCAGCGAAAAGGGTGAAAAAGAGGGGCTGACAGGGGACGTAGAGCCGCAAGTGTCTATGCATGTCGGCAGTTGTCACGGGGGATCGTGCATGGCCCTTTTCTTTATGGTTGGCTCGGCTCTAGTCGGCTTTGCGGCTCTTATGCCGCTTGAAGTCGCCGGAATCGTGGTTCTGAGAGGTCTTCTCGTCCTCCTGGCTGCTTGACTCATCATCGCTGCGCAAGTCCTTGACCTGCGTACACGAAGTGAGTCTTTCTCAACAAGTTATTCTCCTTCAAGCACAACATGTTCGCCCATGCTCAACACAGTAACATCACAGGCAGCTGTGAAATTTCAACCGCGCCTGCTGCCAAGTAATCAGACTAAAGATTATCAGAGAGCCAGGAAGTAGCTAAATCATCACAAATTCCCCCAAAAGTAGCAATCATGCCAAAAATCATTAATTATGAATGAAACACTGAAGAACAGAGACAGCTTAGCTTAAAAAGCAGGCAAATGGAGATGGACAGCTGAACCTTATAATATCCAGACAACATAGAGAATGTGCTTTTTTTTGTTTCATTCTAGCAGTACTATGTGTTAAGCATTTTTGTGCATCTTATCAGCATTAATGACTACCATTGCAAGTCCCTCATAATGCCTATTGCCTTCGCTGCCTCGCTTCAACGAAACAACTATCTCATTTCTGCTTTAAGGTGCATGCCAGCGGAGACTGGTTCTAACTAGAGGTGTGAGAATATTTTTCTAGCGGTGTTTGCTATAGAATCAATTAGCACTGAATATTTACCATTTGAACTGTTCAAACTTCCAGAAAATGAACATAACAGCTTATAATAGCAGAAAATAAATATAACCGTGGTAAATGGACGTGTAACATGCTCAGCGTCTTGTTTCGGGGAGACAACGTGCGAAACTGCTAGACGCTTCCACCTGTGCTCCAAGTGGTTGCTGTGCAATTAGCTTGGTCGGGGAGATCTCTGGCAATGCACAAAATGCCTACCTGTTGTTCCAAGGAACCAGTGGGCCATGGGATTCGTAGCTTACGAAAAAGTGCATTTCAGTTTCTTTGCTTTCGCCTGTCCCCTAATGCGATGTTCTTGGCCGCCCTGTTCATGTGCATCTTGTACACCGCCGCCGTGAGTCGAGTTATCCCTAGTCACAACTCTGAGCAGCAAGCTAGGTCATGTATTGCATGGTCGTGGTGCCCGATTTTTCAAATTACGTCCTGCTCAATCCTAATGCAAAGAGTCATCTCTCGGCGGTCTCAGTCACGAGGTTTGAAGTTCTGGTTAGCAGAACCCCTATTCGCTGGCCCCACAGCCCGCCTGGAATGTTCGCAGCACACTATTGTAATCTGCTTATAGAGGTTTTACTTGCAGCAGCCAAACTAAAGTGTACTTTTATTATAAGTCATTATCGACCAATGAACACAAAACGAGTGCGAATGCATTACTACGTAGCATTATTTTTTATAGCTGTGACTTCAAGATGTGCAAGCAGTAGACAGCGCTCTCTCGGATCAAGAGTTAAACCTAAGGTGAGGTGCTTTGGAGCAACATCGCGGGCGCCACCAATCGGTGGCCTAGAAACGAACCTCAAACATATGTTTTATGAGCGCATTTAAGATTGCAGGTGTCAGATTGCAGAGATAGTTTTTTTTAGTACAGTAAAACCTAATTATTTCGAATTCGGTTATTTCAAAATCCCGTTTAACTGGACGGATTTCTTCCTTCCTGTATTTTACAATATAGGTTTGAGTGGATGATTTGAAGCGGCGGTCAGCATAAGCTTATTTAATTTGAAAACTTTGGTGCTATGTGCGGATTCCCGATCCAGATTTTGCTGCGAATTTGCGGTAACGGCAGACTTTAGGAGCCATAAGGCAGTGCATCATAGTGATACCAATGAGTGACAGATGAAGCACTCCAACCACGATTCCTTAAGAAAAAAAAAGAAGAGAGAGAGTGAGGGGGGGTTGTGATAGACATAAATGTGCGCCTGCGGAAGAGAAGACGTGGCTCACTGCAACACAGTGGTGACACGTGGGCAGCACGTCGCATGCTTTTTGCACAGTCAGCATAGCATGATTTATACCTTTTTTCTGAAAATATAACATAGTTAATAAAGGCCAGTTTGATGCAGTTCGCGATGCACGCGAAGTTCTGACTGGCAATTGCTCCAGCAATTTGCGCACTAGCACTGCTGGCCGAGTTCCTGTCAGCAACGCCTACTTCGAAAACGCTGTTCGAAGACTTCAATGCTCTTGTTTTCCAGACAAATCATATCGCAAACGCCGTCACACTGGCAGTTTTTAAATTCTTTGTTTTACCGAAAAAAGTCGCAGCATTGCCGCTAAGGCAAAGCAATGAACGTGACAGCAACAAATTGGAAGGTCACACGCAGAATGGCAAGCAGATCGAAGTGTGCCCTGTGTTTCTCAAGCACAAACGACGCACGAAATGTACTCACAGGTATGAATGAACGCGAATGAATGTCTCAGTTCTTACTTCGCTGTGTTTGAAAAGTGCGCCCTTTTCGCAAACGAAGACAGTGCTATGAGCGTGGTGACCGTTGTGCGCCCGGTAACTACAACAGAATCCTTCCAGTGAAAGCCCCAAGAGTACAATTGTTTCCACCGAGAGATAAGCGAGTGCTCACAAGAGCGTCTCCTCTCCACGAGTCTAACCCCCGAATGCAGAGATGTTACTTGACTCGTACTTGACTCGTTCTTGACTCAAGAAAGTCTTGCCGGTCACCATAAATCGTTCTCGAACTTGCGGATGACTTGAAGGCGACTTAGCTCGGTCGAAGTCAGGACAAGTTTCAAGTCAGCTGCGGGGCTAGCTTGAAAGCGACTTCACGCGTTATTCCAACATGGCCACCTCTCGAATGGACGTCGCGTGAAAGGTGGCCGCTTTTGAGATTGCTTGCCTCGCCATAAGCGTAGCATTTTTTGAGGCGCACTGCCTGCCGAAGATTCTTGGAACCGCTTTACCTGACCAAGGAAATCCGATGGAGTTGTACGACGAGCAACAATTCCACGCTAGGTACGGATTCATGAAGAACGCCGTGGGGCAGCTGCTCGTTATGTTGCCGCTCCGTGAAAGTGGGGACAACCGAAGACAGCCCGTGCATCCAGTGTTACAGCTACTGATGGCTCTCAGGTTTTACAGCGCTGGCACATTCCAACCAGTCACCGGAAATTTCGTCCACATTCCGTAGTCGACAGTGTGCCGTGCAGTCGGAAAAGTTACGCTACTCATCGCAAAGCACCTGTACGCGATGCTGGTGCGCTTTCCGTAGCCGGCGGACTGTTATGAAGTGGCTGAGTTCCCTTGCGTTACAGGTTGTGTCGACTACCCACATGTGCTAATAACAGCCCCAGTGTCGACAACGCCGAAGTGTTCCGTAACCGCAAAGGCTATTTCTGTTTTTCTATAACACGACGACATTTCCTGTCTCTTTCGGTAAAAAAAAAATGACTCGGTGCTGTGTCCGTGTGCCTCGTCTATCCTTTCGTCCCGTCTAGGGCGCTGTTTCTCGCTCAGAAAGGCATCGCTTGTAGCACAACGCTACGTAAAATTACACACACATAAGAAAGAGGTGCCCCTATCACGGGTTTTTTTTTATCCGTGTCACCATCATGCAGCGATACATTGCTGCACCCCACGAGACAGAATTCTGCTGAGGGCAATGTCCTGACCCCCGCTTTTTCTCTTGTTTACCAAGCTCAACAAAAAAGATACAAATCACATTTGTTCCCAGAACTTGTATTTTTTTTTCATATTAACTGCGACCTAGCCTATTACAGGCATGCACACAGGCGAACAGAAAGGCAAATACCGTGAAAATCGCGTCACCTCGTGAGCCAGGTCAGCACAAATACATGCCATGGCGTTCGATTGAGGGAAAAAAAACGACAAAAGAACCCAACGCGATGCTTGTTTCGCCTCCAAACAAGCAACCATGGAGAAACGCACCGCATTTGGGTGGCCACTAAAACCAGCGGACAACGAACGCTTTACAGAAGCAACACTGCGCATCGCTGTGGTGGCAGCCTGCACCACGTGCCGCTCGTTAGCCGTAAAATGGCAAGAATATGCTTGTGGCCCTTCGTTTTTATAGTTATTTTAAAACGTATGGTCTTTTTTTTGGTGTAATGCATGCCTTACGCGAACAACTTCATTAATACCCTCGTTAGCAGGCAAGCAGCGTGTTTCTGCTTTCAAGCTCGTTCTTGACTTGACCAAGCAAGACAGCCTGAGCATCTATGAAACGCGAAGGCTGACTTGGGCGTTTTGAAGTCCGCTGCTTGCTTCGTGCCGACTTGCTCAAGTTAAGTTGAAGTCGCGAGCCAAGTAACATCTCTGCATTCGGGGGTAAGTATGCGTGGGAGATTGGGAGATGAGAGCGCGTGCCGCCACGTCGTGACAATCTGGTAACGCATGCTCAGTGAGCCATCTCGCTGGTAATGCTGAAAAGACGATAGTAGTTTTACCCAAAATGCCCATCACCAGCGATAAGTAGTAGATATAAGAACGTTTGAACCACGGAGGAGGTGCTCCTCTGTGGCTCAGTAGTTAACGCCTCACACTCACGCGATTCAGAGGTCCCAAGTTCGATTCCGTGCGTCGGAAGGAATCTTTTTCTGAATTATTTTTCTTTCTTGTATTTAACCAACCTGGCAACAGAGAAATTCGTTAAACCCCCGAGCGGGGGGGAGGTACCGACTTTTTTTTTTGTAGCTGTGATGGATTTGGCTTTACTTGAGTGAAATCATGTTTTGCCGCGATAAGTCAAAATCGATGCGCTGAATTATTTCCTTCCATTTTGCAGCACAAAAAGAACAAAAACAACAACAAAGAAACATTGCGAAAAACAAGAGGAGGGTAGAGGGTCCCAACCGCAAACAGCGGCGTTGTGGTCTCATAATGGCTTGGATTGGCCGAACACACGAGGGTAGGATTTCCCATTAAATTGAGAGTTTTAAAAGGGGAGAGCAAATGCTCCCGCAATTTCGCGTCATCAAAACAACTAGCAAAAATGTCAATTCCGTCAACAACTCGCGGATGTCTTCACACGTGAACAGACGGGATGGCGCAGCTGGCTGCCGTGAAGCGCAAGTCAAAGCTTTAGTTCTGCTCGCTACTACATTCCTTGGACAGAAACGCCAAAACACTTCTAAACTTTTTTATGCCTTTGCTGTGTTTAATCTACCACTGCGTCAGCCACGTGGCCTTGGAGCTCGTAGATTGCTATCGCATCGCCGCGATCGCAGTTTTGTGCGTGGCGGTTGAGGCAAACTGTAGTTTTGTTTTCCTTCCACGTGCCTTTAAAACTGAGTCGTTTTATGCTATCTATTATCGCAACTGCCTCAGTTTTGTCCAACAGAATTTGCGGAAAGCAGCGTTGCTTTGACAGGTCGAGCGTTGGCCGTGCGCACACTTTCGGAGCTCTGTCAGTAACGTCGCCACCATACATGGCGTCGAACGACCACGGTATTGTCCACAGCGGTTTTGGCACGCACTGCAGAAGACAGTGCGTGCGTAGCCGCCCACATACTTCCGAAGCTTCGAGCATGCTACTCTCGATCGGCCTTTCAAATTTCGGTTCAATGAACACATGAATTTGGCTGGGAATTTAACGAATTCGTACCTGCGCGCTTTCGCATCACTGATACTCTACTGTATGGTTAAATGAACGCCTCTCAATTTCGTTTCTAATGAAATGTGGTGGGCTCGCAAAAAGCTTGGAATGGACTGACCAGCATTTTTGTCAATGCGGCCAGATCTCACACACAAATTTCGATTTCCGGGAGATTTTCATGGCAATTGTACAAACGGGAGAAACGGTCGAAATTCGGGAGTCTCCCAGACAATGCGAGAGACTTGGCAGGTATGTGATGATGATAACACCAATACATATGGTGTCGGAATATAGCACAACGCTATTTTTGTAGCCTCTGCGACTAGCTACGGCAATGCGCCATAGCCAATCGCGGAGGCCACGCTTTATCATTTCTTTATAAAAAATGAAATATCAGGCAAGATTCGTAAAGTTGTAAGTGCGGTCGAAATCGTACATTTTACGAGAAAATTGGAAGAGTTGGCAGGTATGCAACATACATATAGATGTGTATGCATATACGATGAGTGACGTCGACGCTAACGCCGGTGGCAAAATTTAGCCGAGAGTGTCGATACAATTGCTATTGCAATAGAAGAATGAGCAAATGGTCACATCATGACACGCTGATGCTGCAAGAACCAAGTGACATGCTGCCTGGGTGTCACTACTGTTGTGCAGTGAAGCGTGTCTTTTGCCCGCAGGCACACATTTTAGCTGACCATAAGACGCCCCCCCCTCCCCCCCCACTGGCAGCAGCGGTGCCTGCCGTTCACCCGTAATTGCGGCAAAATATGGTGCTGGTGTTGTAGGAAAACATAACCCTTGGAGCTGGGAACTAGCCGGCACAGCAAACGACCACATCTGATTACTTTCAATATTTCATAGTTCCTTGCTTCCCTTTTTTGTGTTTTATTCATTCGAAAAAAAACAAACACTGAATTAGAAACAAAATTTTAACAGTTTAAGTGACTTTGAAATAACTCTATATAATTTAGAACAGGCTTTGAATCTCAAATTTCTTTTTGTAATTTCGCTTCAAAGTAAAAATATTCAAGAAAGATCAGAAAATTTTGCTACGTGCACAGCTCTTCTTCTAACCTGCCAAGATATGAATTTTGCTTCAATGGTTAGATTGTTTGCTTTTAGGAGTGAATGGTTTATGTGGGCGGGCCTACTCACCCCATTGCTTGTAATGGCCTGCAGCGCCATTCGAGCAATCATCCAAGTCCAGACTATGTGCAGGAATTGCAGGGCGACCAGCAGTGAGTTGAAGATGTAGTAGGCAGCAAACATCTCGATCACCTTCACTGCCTCAAACATAGTGTAGTAGATGACCCTGCAAAGGCCAAAGACAGCGTGCATCACTCTCTCCAGCACTTACTGGCAAATGGCAATATGCTTCGACCCACCAATACCATTCCCAACAGTACATCAAGCTCTTCCACATTACTAAACTCACTGTACCTGGCCATGACAGTAAATCAAAGATGTCGCTTGGAAAACCAGCTCATTATCCATTACACCCCCAACCTCTTTTCACAGGCTCCGCTAAAGAGAGGACGCTGGATCTTTCCCTCCAATGAATAGTACTGTCTTTCTCTGCTTAATCCCAAAGTCGGCAGAATGGACTTACACCTTAACATAATCATGAAGTGCCAATCATAAACATAGAATATAAAACACACATACGTGACGAAGTAGAACAACATTTGCAAAGAATCATTCGCAAAGAGGTCGTGCCAAAGCGCTGCAGAAGGAACATCAGAAATGGTGCTCGAGAACATTTTGCAGGACCAGTTGGCGCATGTTATTGAAGATATAAAGCGCCAAAGAGATCAACACAAGACGTTACATGGACAAGCGCCTCTCCACGTCACTTCTTGATACAGAAGGAATAAAGCTCCATTGAGACAAACACTAGAAGGGTTCTCTCCCGTTTCAGTACTGAACGTGATACCACGCTTATCTTGTGCACCAACTTTTCCAAACTTGCTTCACCACAAAACAACACATAAAATTCAGCAAAAGTTTAGAAGATGCAAGATTGCCAACAGTGGGACCAAATAATGAGCGACATGTCATTTGTTGCAGTTATCAGAAGCAGTGTTGGAAACTAGAAGCAGCAGTACAAAAATAAATATTTCGATGCCATCTGAACGAAAGTTGCGGAAGGTTGGCATTCGCGTACGAATTCATGTTAAGCAGGAATTTTGCTGAGTAATAGAGTTGTAGATTAAAAAATTTTAGCTTTCAGAGGTCCATTTTTCTCCCAATGTTTGGCTTTCTAAGGCCTGTGCTCCCCACCTCAATGTGGAATGATGAAGTCACACTGAGAAATGTGACTGTGGTTCTATTGGGCAGTACATAAGAGCAACAGTGTCCTCCATGTCAGCTCACCTGTACGGGTAGAGCCCCAGCCTGGACACCAACCAACAGAGGGTGAACACAGCGAAGGCAGCATCTGCAAGGCGCTGACGTTTTACGTACTTGGCCATTTTAGCTGCCTGCATGGAAGGAAACATAAGATCATTTTCAGGCATTTTCTCATGCTTATTTATGTCTTTTGCCCATTACAAATGGCATTCTCTTAGGATGAAGTATTTGCTACTGCAATAACTATGATTGCACCGTGACCAACCTATCTTTTCAGACAAAATACGTGTCGGAAATCACTGAATAGTTTTGCAACTCCCAGATGGCTCATTACAAATGCAAGCATCATGGGAGATTCGACGACACATGCATGCTTTGGTTAAGTGATTTGTAGTGTCAAATTTTGTGGAAAAGAATGCTGTAGTGTGTGGTCTCATGTACACTCTAGGCAGCGTAAAAGTATCAGACGGTGCATGTGCAGCTGTCACATGAAACTAATTGTTATACAATGAAATCCCTTTAAGAGGCATGCTCCAGGCAGCAAGTCTTGTTTTATGAATGAACTCACCTCCAGTGGCACGTCAGCAAAGTCGTGCACAATGAGCACCAGACTGCCTATGCGGTGCAGGTTGCAGGCCCATGACAGTGACAACAGTACTATGGTGAGGATGTGGTGGACAAACATCTGCCAGAAGTCCTGCGTAGGAGAAGAGATGCCCCGCCCTCTTGATCCGTGCATTGCATGAATTATCCACATAGGTATACTGATGAGATCGCATTGGGAACACATGACGTGGTATGAAGATTTATGTCAGAACATTTCCTTCATGACATCTCAGACTTGCATAAGCAAAAGGGAAAAAAAAGAGACACCAAAAGGCCAAGCACATTTTCCATTCCTAGACCACATACACATGAACGCCAGCTGACAAATTGGGCAACGTTGTGGCCTCCTCCTATACACTGACACGCTGGCACACTTTTTCATGTCTCCCTGTGCCAACACATTTGTGTGGCTAAACAGCAGAAAAATAAAAGGGCTAAGTCACAGTGAAAGAAATGTGGTCACAAGTCAGTATGCCTATTTCACAGGTTTACAATGTATGCTGGTCTCGCAGCTCGCATTTGACGGGTCAAATCGTCCGCTATCCAGCCAGTTAACGGTCGAACACTTGTGAACATTTAAACAAAAGTAACCTTAATTAATGGGAATTGGGGTCACATTTTAACAAACATTCACAAGCACTCAGTAAGTCCCCGTAAAAAAGCGGTGCTGTTGCTCGGGCTGGTAGGGTGAGTCTGCCCGCCGCCTGGCATTTCTTCTTCCGTCGACGACCGGTGCTTTCACTCTCTCCGTGAGCCGACAGAGAAGATGACAAATGACGCTCTGAAGGTCGTTTGCGGCGCCCATTTAAAGTGGCCATAACAAAAGAAAAAGGATTTTCAAGACGTAGAAGTAGCCCCTACTAGGGGCTTAAGCGTCCCCCCGACTTCCTTTGGCGGCACTTGAAAGGCAAACACGGCTCCTGGCCGCTCTCTTCGAGAGGGGACGGCACACAATGCATCTATTTGTATCAAGTGACTATGTGCTACATAACCACAGAGCCCTTACGCATCTATTCCTTCTACATTTCTCTTAGTCAGAAACGTGTTTTACTCATGACATGTCGCCTTAGAAGACGACATTAACGAAGTGCGCGCGGGGCACTGGCGCTGTGGCACGAGCGCGAGCCTGGCGTCGAACGCTGGCCAGGAGTGACCCCAACGCCTGGGCTACGCCTTTGAACTTGTTCACGTTTCCTGTCCTTTAATAAATCGTCTACAGTCACAAGCGGCTGTACAGACGTAACAGTTGGCGACGAGGAAGACTGGATCGACTCATCGGCACTCCACCGACGTCAAGGAAATAACATGGCGACGCCCGACTTCGGTCGGCTACCCGAATTCAGCGGCAGCCCCAGCTCCTGGAGATCCTGGTATGGGAGGCTACAGTTCTTCTTCGAGGCTAACGAGATTACGGACGCATCGAAGAAACGTGCTCATCTGCTAACGCTGTGCGGGGAACAGACTTATGACATCGTCTGCGCCCTCGTTCAACCCAAGCAGCCCAACCAAGTGAGCTACGAGGACATAGTCAAGATGCTCAAGGCTCATTTCGATCCACAACCGTCTGAGGTCTTCTGCAGGGCACGATTCCAGCGACGTGACCAAAAGCACGACGAAACGGTCAGTGATTACGTCACGGCGCTCAAGAAGCTAGCAGCAGATTGCAATTTCGGGACAAGCGCAGACACTGCAGCGAATCCGACAATGCTGCCTATGGACGTCATGCTGCGTGATCGTTTCGTTTGCGGTCTTCGGAACGAGCAGGTCCAGCAACGGCTCTTCGCAGAAAAGGACTTGACGTTCAAGAAAGCTTTCGACCTTGCACTGCGAGCTGAAAACGCCATCGAAGACCAGAAACGCGTGAAAACCGAATTTAAAGAGTTTCACGAATCCTGCATAAGCACATGCAAGATAGACAACCAAGGTCACTCTAGTGCCTCTGCCCAAAGAAGAAACAACGCTGTTGGCGTTGTAACGCGCTACATAATCCGGACACTTGCAAGTTCCAGACAGTCTCCTGCAACTACTGCAAGAAACGCGGACACATTGAAAAAGCCTGTCTGAAAAAGCGGAAAGAAGCAAAAACGAGCAACAGCATCGAATATCCCCAACAAGGAACTTCGACAGCTGCCTCAGCACCAGTGTCGACTCAGCAGGACTCATCAGACGTGGCCCTTTACGAGCTCAACACCGTAACCAACGCGTTCAGCACACAGAAGGTCATGACTCGGCTACGCGTACATGGCAAGTTCTTGGATTTTGAAGTCGACTCGGGTGCAGCCTGCACACTCATCAGTGAGGTCACGTTCAAAGCTACGTGGACAGATGATCGACCACGGCTTCAGACCGACAACATGCTCCTACGCACATGGTCAGGACAGTCTCTTCGAGTTCTCGGATGTGCAACGGTGATTGTTACGCACGGAAACAAAACCATGACACTACCACTTGTTGTCATCAAGGGAGCAGGTTGTAACCTCCTTGGACGAAACTGGTTTCCTCACCTGGGTATACAGATCACGGGCATCAATGATGTATCCGGCGATGAACTTGTTTCGAAGCTTCTCGACAAGTACCAATCTGTATTCGACGAGGACATATCAGGACACATCGGTCCAGCGGTACAACTAGACCTCGTGGAAGGAGCGAAACCAAAGTTCCTAAAAGCACGGCCGGTTCCTTTCGCGCTCCGGTCAGCTGTAGAAGCAGAATTGGATCGACTGCAAAGTCAAGGCATAATCGAGCCAGCACAGCATTCGGATTGGGCAACGCCTCTCGTACTGGTTCGAAAGAAGAATGGCTCGTTGCGAATATGCGGCGACTACCGTTGCACAGTGAACCAGGTATCAAAGAAGGCAGACTACCCACTTCCCTCAACTGATGAAGTGCTCAGCCACTTGAGGGGAGGCAAGGTCTTCAGCACCCTGGATTTAGCACAAGCGTACCAGCAACTTCACGTGACGCCAGAGACAGCAGAGATATTGACCCTGAACACGCTGAAGGGACTATACAGGGTCAAGAGATTGCCTTTCGGAATTTCTGCAGCCCCAGCCATTTTTCAACGTTTTATGGAGACAATGCTGTCAGGCATCACAGGCGTGTGCGCATACCTAGATGACGTGATCATCAGTGGGAAAGACGCCACGGAACACGCCGAGAGACTGGAAGAAGTGCTGAAGAGGCTACGAAACTACAATCTGCGCCTCGGAAAAAACAAGTGCTGCTTTGCGGTGCGACAAGTTTTCTTTCTGGGACACCGAATCGACGAGACAGGCGTCCACACAAACGAAGAGAAAGTTCGAGCCATAACGGACGCTCCAGCACCAAACTGCAAACAAGCGCTTCAATCATTTCTCGGAATGCTGGCTTTCTACGACAGATTCTTGAAGAACAGGGCAACAGTTGCCAGCTGACTATACCAGCTTCTTCAGAAGGACGCCACGTGGAGATGGGAGACAAAGCATCAAGAAGCCTTTGACAAGCTTAAGGCATTGCTGCTCAGTCAGACCGTACTGGCACACTACGACGAACAGAAGGAGCTTCTTGTCTCTTGTGATGCTTCACCATATGGCATAGGAGCTGTTCTGTCTCAACGTGATGACCAGAATAGAGAGGCGCCAATCGCTTTTGCATCTCGGACGCTAGGGCCGGCAGAACGCAAATATGCTCAATTGGACAGAGAAGGCCTTGCTGTGGTGTTTGCAGCCCACAAGTTCCACAAGTATATTGCGGGAAGAAAGGTGACTTTCGTCACTGACCACCAACCACTGCTCGGCATACTGGGTCCACAAAAGCCAACGGCTCAAGTCCTTTCTCCACGGATGACCAGATGGTGCATCAAGTTATCGGCGTATGACTACAGCATAATCTACAGGCGTGGCAAGAACCATCAAAACGCGGATGCGTTGAGCCGTTTGCCATTACAAGAACGTCTCGATGAACCCTGGCCTCCAGGTGACGTACTATTGTTCGAAGCGTTATCGAGACCTCCGTTGACTGCTGCCGAGATAGCACGCCTGACACAACAAGACAGCATCATGCAGAGGTTGTACAAGGCAGTGCAGGATGGTACAGTGGAGAAACTCACTGGAGATGAGTTTGCTCCTTACCGACGACGAGCGACCGCACTAGCACTACAGCGCGAGTGCATCACACTTGGATCCCGAGTGATCATACCGAGCTCAGCACGATCCCGTGTTCTGGCACTTCTGCATGCGGGTCACAGAGGCATGGTAGCCATGAAGAAGTGCGCAAGGAGCTACGTATGGTGGCCCGGAATGGACAAGGTGATCGAGGAAACGGTGCGACAGTGCCGTGAATGCCAAGCAACGCAAAAGAGCCCACCCAAAGCTCCTATTCCTACGTGGGACCGTCCCCAGACAGCATGGAACACGGTGCACGTTGACTTCGCGGGGCCACTACTCGGACGCACCTACTTAGTTGTTGTGGACGCATACACAAAGTGGGTGGAAGTCCGGCACGTGACACAAGCAACATCCGCGGCTGTAATCGACGTGCTCCGAAGCCTCTTTGCAACGTTCGGCATTCCCCGAAAGGTCATCTCCGACAACGGAAAAGCATTCATCTCCAACGAGATCAAGCAGTTCTATGCGTCGAACGGCATACAGGCTGCAACCTCACCAGCATATCATCCGGCAACAAACGGCCAGGCAGAACGCTATGTGGCGGAGCTGAAAAGAGCGCTGTTGAAAGATGCAGACAAGTCCATACAGTGCCGACTTGCAAGATTTCTGTATCGGCAGCACACGACAATACACACTACCACAGGTATGACACCGGCGAGAGCGATGTTCGGACGAGAATTGCTCTGCCCTCTCGATCTTCTTAAGCGGGAGACGGATAAGAAGGATTACTCAACTGTAATGCAGCTTCAGCACAGCTCTGCAGAAGGCTATATTCACAGAGGTGCACTTCCCAGAGTCAACTAATGCGGCAGTAAGTACTCAGAGTAACAGAGAGAAAGAGAAAAATGTCCCCCTTACCTTGCGTTTGGTGTCAATGAATTGTGACATTGTCAGTGACACATAGAACCCCAGCTCAATCATGTAGTACCACCAAAGGTCATTGGTGACAGCCTGCAGAATGGGAGAGGGAGGGAAAAAAACCACATTCCAGTTCAACACAAGCTACAACAGTAGACACAAATTAAAAGAGGAATTCGGAGACGCCACGTACAGTAGTACCAAAGCTTCCGCTACTCGCTACACAATTAGCTGGTGCCTTGTCCAGCCATGTGCACAATTAACTCACGGCAAACTTGCCCAAACTAAAAAAGTTGACATGCAGTCGCAACAGGTAACAAGGGGAACTGAAGACAACTTCACAATTTCCGCAAACTGAGTAAAATGTGGGCTGCCTCAAAATTTCATATCTGCTACTACAATAACTATGCATGTGCAGCCTGAATTTCATACCAATCCGTTTATATTTCTCGTTGTTCTTGACTTCTGTCACAGCCTCGGACAAAACCACACAGCCGTTTATGGAAACTTAACACAAAATAAAATACTTAAGTGCTATGACTACCACAGCAAACTCTCTAACTGGAACTTGAAGAGACGAGGAAGATATGTTCCATTTAGAGAGAATGAAAAGGGTGGAAAAGTACAAAACCAATATATAAGAGGCAGTAGTGCTATTTAGCAGATTTCTCTTAAACAAGGGATGCCATTATTTGTTTGCCCAAGCATTACTAGCCTTCCCAGCATTTTATGAATGTGCCAGTACAGCACTGAAAGCCTGTAATGAAGTACAAAGCCCATCACCGGATGGCAGCATAGAGAAATGCCTGTCACTGTTTGTGAGCGCCTACTTGCGTAATGTAATAATTGTTTCACAAAACCCAAGACTTGCAATGTTCTAGCAGCACACCCAAGTAACATTATAACATGTTATGCTACCACAGGAAAAGGAGAGACTAAGATGAAAATGAACCACATTTTTTTAGTTGGGGCCCTTAAGCGGCTCACACAGGCTCTTGTGACCTTTGTACTTTCCTTGGGGCAGTTGGCAAACAGAAAAGGAGAAAAAAAGCAGGAAGAGTGTGAAAACCACAAAAATATGGAGATCCAATGACTAGGGGCCCCTGGTGCTAAAGCTTTCCAGTGGCCATTGTGATAGCGGAAGCAATCATCTTGCTGTGATGACACATGGCAGGAAATGCTTTGCACACTGGAACAACACGGCAGATTTTGGCACCTATTTGCCTAATAGTTAAAAAGAAAATCTTTGCTGCTTCTTTAGCACTAGCTAATAATATTTCAAGTAAGCAAAACAAAATAATGGACACTTATAACAAAGCAAGAGTGACTACCACCTGAACGTATTACAGTGGGGCCTTACTGTAATACACTAAAGTAGCACGTCGGGTCCATCGATATGCGATACTAGAACACTTCATCATAGTGCACCCAATGCATGACAAAAAGCAACATAAATCACACACAGTGCCATGCATATCAAGTAAATGTCACTTTTTTTTGTCCTGCGCCAGGCACACTGCACCAAAGGTCTCTTATGTTGACATTTAAGTCACTGCAAAGAAAACCTAAAATAAGCTACAGCCTGAGAAAACAATCTCTTCCTTCACGCATAGGTAAATTGTAGATCTATTCAGCATTTTTATGGGCACAGCGTAACAAGAACATGATTTAAATGCACACCCACACGTAGCGTAATGGTAACGTGTGGGTGTGCATCCCTATCATCAAATGTGTTCCCTATCCCTATCATCATCCCTATCATCAAATGACAGGTATCCCTGTCATCAAATGTGTTGTTTTTTATCAGAACTAATTCATTTCATTATAACACGCACGCAGTGCAAACATAAATTACTGCCTTATTGGTGCAAAAGTTCCAACTGCGATGCCGAATCGCACACAGTCGGCAAACAATTCGTGGGTGCTAAAAAAATCTTGGGATAAAACTGTAAGAGCTGAAGCTTGTTGCAAAAGCGCAGGTGTCGTCTTATACTTCAGCTATGCTTGCAATACGTTCAGAAACCGAAAGGCTATTATTATAAATACTTTCACGTCATCTAAGACGCTACTCACATGGTGAGGATAGTCATACCAGCAGTGCATCGTGTCCCATAACCAAGGTTTCTGTAGAAAATAAAAACAAAATGAAACTTGTCAACGCACTTGGCCACAGCAAAAGCATAATAACAAGTTCAACAAGGGAACTTGCCTAAAAAACTGAATTGCCAAGTTAGATTGTAGTTGAATGAAACGTCAATTTATTTGTAACGAAAGAAGAAGTTAAGTTGAAGTAAGGGTGCCTTGCCAATTCGTATTGAAAGAAAAGGTTAAGTTAAAGTAAGGTTGCCTTTATGTGGGGCTAAACCTTGCAAGCTACCGTTGTGTGGCAAATTTTGTATGTATTTTCTAACAACCCAACTGTCTTTAGCTTCCATTTTGTTTAATGTAAACCCAGATGCGTGAAATATTCATTCTAGGTATAACACAATATGCCGAGGAGTGATTATGCACATTATCAACACCCGCTTTTGGGGAAAAAGAAAACACTGCTTATCCACGGAGTGAACGATGACGAGTGGGCAAAGCACTGGGGGTCATCGGGTAAACGGGAACCACTGCACATTGCTCACTCTACATCACATATAACGAGTGAAAATGTTTGTAATCTTGGTGAGGCTGTTATCAAACTACCAACAATCACACACTTTAAAACTGCGCCCGAAGAATTCACGCTTGAAGCGGGCGTCAGCGCCACTCACGACGAGTAGCATAGGCTTCTTGTGTTTCATCTTAGCTTTTCAAGAACTCCGGGTTCGCTTGCCTTGTCGTTTTGCCCCCCTCTTCATGAGCTCTCAACTGCAGGTTCGCTTGTAAACACCTTCGCGGTGCTTCGGCTTTGCGAGCCTTCGGTTTGTTCATTGCGAGTGACATGTACGTATCCATGGTTGGAATGAGAGAGAGGGAGAGGGGTCGCTGCAAGTGCTTCTAGCGGTCGCCATTGAAAGCTGATCACTAGATGGCTACACAGAGTGTACGTCGCAAGCTCAGCCCCAAGGTGCTTTGCCCCTAAAAGGGTCCATTTTATCTACAGCATATAGCAGAAAACAAAGGAAGTGCTGCCTAGGTGACCACAGCTGATTGTTTCCACAAATAGAGCAAAAATCTTGCCCATGTACTCCATCAGAAAGATAATCAACAATCCATCTAATGACGTCTCTAAAGAGTGCACCACCACTAAATTATGTGCACTAGCATAAGAGGTCGAAATGTCAGTTCTGAAGTTGTCCCCAACTACAGATCACTGTGGCGCACGTGCTTCACGCACAAGTAAGTGTAAAGCAGGTTTCAAATACTGCTGTGTCAGTGTGTTTAGATTAACAAAAATACTATAAGTTCATTACAAAAGAAACTTGGTTATAAGTAACAATTGAAAATGATTTGGTCACGAGAGACACTCGGTTACTAAGGGCAACTTTTTTCTTAGATCAACAGAGTAAATGCTTCACGGTTTAGGAGAGGCAACCTAGACACATTCATACAGTACGGCCGACGTTGATTACCAACCGCCACGTGTCAATTTCATTCCCTTGACTTGACACCATTCAGTTCCATCGCTGAATGCCATTCCTCACATTGTTACGACTAGAAATTGCATGGAAGTTTTTGTCATTGTGCTATTATTATAACTGTCACCCTCCTACATTGTCTATGTAACAAGGAGAGAACCATTACGTTAGATTTCTCAGAACCATTACGTTAGATTTCTCCTGCAGCGTTCAGTGCTGCGTGGAATTCGCAGCACTGAATTCCATATGCCAGTAATATCTAAAAGGACTTCAAATGCATTGTGAGCAACATAGAGGCTTGCAAAAAGCTTTACATCCAGACATTGGGAAGCAACCTCGTACAATGTGCAATTTCAAAAAGCTACCATGAATGCCTTAGGCCATCCTGAGCAATTTACTCATAATGTGTTTGAAAAGCTTTGATGCTGTAGCACAGTAATGCAGTACAGTTCCATTTTTCAGTGTTTTTAAACTTTTCGGTTGCAAGGAACCTTGGTTACGAAAGATTTATCTCAGACCCCTTGAGTGTCCCTTGTAGCCAGGTTTTACTGTAATCAGGGTTGTAGGTGTTACTGAAAGAATTGAACCAAATTTATTTATTTATTTAAAATACTGCAAGCCAACATTTTGGCTCAAGCTTGGATTGAAATACATTGATTTGATTGATTTGTGGGGTTTAACATCCCAAAACCACCATATGATTATGAGAGACGCCGTAGTGGAGGGTTCCGGAAATTTCGACCACCTGGGGTGGATTGAAATACATTGCTCTTTACACTAATACAATAGGAATGCGTAATCACTCCTAGTTACCTAGAATAAAAGTTGACCCATTAACATTACCATAAAGAATTAGTAAAAATAAACAAAAACTGCGACACACGTGACTGCTACCGTTACTAAATAGACATTTTAACCAGTGCTCCTTTACTGCAAGAACCCAGAATAACACACGCACATAATATATGTATGTTATAAAAAACAGTGCGAATTACCACAGGACATATAAAAAGGGGAATCACACAGACAGAACTTGTCCTGTGGTTTTGACGCTGTTCCTTGAAACATTTTTAACCAACAAGCCCAGCTTTCTGAACTCTTGGCTCTACATAAAACCTTCAACCCAAACAATTTTCCCTGAAATACCGATAACAAGATTACTTCAGGCAAGTGTGCTGGAATTTAGAATACAATAAAAGCTCGTCAAATCGAACTATCAATTTGAACCGCCGCCCCCGGTCCCAGTAAGCCCTGTGTATTCTTATCGAAGCATACTCCCGATAATTAGAACGCACCCACATTCACAGTGGTTATTTTGATTTTCTACGCTTCTCGCAGAAGACGGCCCAGAGTGTTCACAAAGTGCTGCAACGCCAAACCAAAACAAATTTGCTAGACATGCAAAAGAATGAAATGGCAGCATTTCTCAGCAGATGAGAATTCGGACGCTGCACTGGAGCTCTTGGGGAAGCTGCAAATGATGCTGAAAAAGTCATCACAGAGGCAATGCAACCAAATGCAAATCACTGATTACTTTCAATTTTGATTGCATTAGCTCTGCCATGTAAACAAATTTGTCTAGGAGCAGCAATCTAGTAGCATACGTTTTGGGGCTAGTTGTCAAATTCTTTCAGTAACGAAGAATTGCAAAAAAAAAAAAAAAAAACAGCACATGAAAGAAAAAACGACACCTGTGCAAAGAAAGCTTGTGCAGATGTCGTCATCTCAGTCTTCCATGTTCTGCATTTCTTGTGCAATGCTTCATTACTGAAAGAATGGAGCAGAAATAGCGTTATGTATTACATCCTTAAACCCTCACTGCTCTCATGAATGCACCAGTGGTTGTTTCTGGCACATCACTGACTGATCAAGAAATTCTGTATGCTGTTAGAGCTTCATAAAAATTGTTTACGAAATCCCCTGTGCGAGCGCATAGCATCACTTAGTTCGCGATAAGAAGACCACAGGTAGCTTCGTTGGTTCTGCCCAAGCAATGTGGCTGAGTTTCTGTTCGTTTTATCACTCACCAGTTAATTCGATCAATTTCATAGTACCATTGACATTCGTATGAACAACCTTTAACTGCATTATAATGGTTTAGTTTAACTGTAGAGTGCACTGTCACGGTATGTAATTATGTGGCACAAGCTTTGGAATGTGACACTTAACAGAAAAAAAATTCACCATAATGTTGTCCAAAACGAGAACATCACTGATCTCAATAAATTTCCAGTGATTCCGATGGTACGCTCTTATTAACAAAAAAAAAAAAAAAAAAACGCTATTGTTTGTAACGCGTTATTGCCAGCATCGACATACCAAAAGGAGCATAAGGTGAAATTTACTCTTTCTACTTGCACGGACGATGCTGCCTTTGTCACTGTAACTGTGGCATTTAAAATAAACAATTGCTCTTACATTATAAACATACTACTCAGCTTCTATAGACAGCCAATTGTTTTTTTTCTCCCCTTCCTTGGGCTAATCAATCTTCAACTTCGACTGAAGCCTGCAAATAACTTCCCCTATGCTCCGCTTGGCCTCCTTATGAGCTGGCTTCTTACAGTTGTGGCTAAAGAAAACGGGCTTTTGCTTGCCTTTCTTATTCATAAAACAACAGTAATATAAACCAACTTCAAAAGCAATAATGCACCTTGGTAGCCTGCAGTTTCGAGGAAGATAAGCAGTGGCATTGTAAGTGTCTAGCAATGGGAGGTAGCGAAGTGCCGCCACATAGCTGCCATTTAAGGTGCTTAGTTTTTTAGCTTGGCAGCAGAGGATCAGGAAATACAGATTCTCTGACCCCCCCCCCTTTCCTGAAGCACTTTAGATACCTTGTTATGAATAAAATACATGAATAAACAATGAAACCAAGAACAAATATACCAAGATGCACTAACATTCTTGAGATTTCAACATACATACGACTTACGTCTGATAGTGTGTACAATCCATAGCAAAATATGCTGAAGTAAAACGTGAACCTCCACCTGAAATAAAGACCATCAGTATACAAACGTCAGTCAATTTACATAGCCACACACAGTTTTAGCAAATTCAACTTATTTTGTAGTAGATTAACCATGATGCAATATAAAAACAATTGTTTGTATACAGTAGTGAACTGCAGCACCAATAAAGCAAGCACGATCCTCAAGTGAGCAAGACTGCTGGCTCGGCTCCACTAAGTTACAATATGTGTAGAGACTTATTTTAGGATACTACACAATTAATACTGTATTTAAAGTTAATCTTAATGAGTTATACCACTGCACTTGAGTGAGACAGAACTGTTGTAGTAAACAGGGTATTTCTGCACAAAACTGAAGTTTTGTTAAGAATAAAAAACGACCTGTGACATCTTGCTTCAGTACACAAATGCCTTCTTTTGACCTGCAGATGGAGGTAATGTAACGGCTAACGTATATTTTGTTCCCATCTCACAATGCCTTTTCTTTGGTTCTATGTAATTTTAGGAAATGGTTCTTACTGTGTTCCACATAATTATAAAGCACCATGTGCAATAGAAAAAAGGCGAACGGGCATTGTGAGATCGGAACAAAATACACGTTGGCACTTGCACTACGTAATCACATGAGTGCCATGGTATCGCTTGGCCCAAAAGTAGCATGCGTGGAACGGCCATACTCCATAACGAAGAATGGTGGGTGCTGTTGCTCCCTACTATTCAATACACGTACCAACATAACGAAGGGTGAAAATATGTGCTTCTAGAAGGATTCGACAGATTGCAGAACCAGTAGAATGACGCTGAATCATGCCAGCCTGGCACTTCAGCGCAAATTTCGGAACGCACAGTGGAGAGCCGCACACTACTCAGTGTTGCTTACTGCTCTCCATTCTTCCTACTAATAAGGCAACAGAGTTATGCCAGGTGCCCATTTGCTGTCCCTGACATACCTGTGAATCCCCCCCCCCCCCCTCCATACAGTGTCGCTGACATGCGGTACATTCTCCACTATGCTATAAAAAATCCACAATGAACCGCAAAGCTGGCATGATCTAGTGTCATTCTACTTGTTGTGCCAGTCTGTCAAATTCTTCTATATGCACATATTTTCACCCTTTGCTGTGTAGTACGTGTACTGAAGAGTAAGGAGTGACAACACCCACCATTCTTTGCGATGGGGTACGCCTCCTTCGCGAGCACTGCTCCCTTGGGCTGAGCAAGCTCGTGCAATTAGAAGGGTCGTTCTTCCATCCGACACGTCTTCAGTCTTGTTTTTTCACTTCTCTTTATGAGTCTGTTATGGCACGTTAAGTTCAGGGACACGCACCATTGTCTTTTCAATAGAAACATGACTTCACCACAGCCTCGCTTGCTGCTACTATCAGCACTAAACAATGTTGGTGTATCCTCTTCCTATCTCTGTCATCTTGCCTATACAGTGTGCCATTTCTCTGCATTTCAAGCTTTCCTGATATTTCAGAAACCAAGCCGACAATCGGGGGTGCATCAAGACCAGGAACACTCAACAGTGAAACGGTCAAAAGGCCACTAAGCCAAACAGAGGTTAAAATGCAGTTGCAGTGTTGCATCTGTGGCCGAGTCTCGTATCGCTATAGTGCAGCTCAGTTTAAACCTGAAGGAAAAAAGACAACAGCAAGGCAAAAAAATCACAGGCAACAAGTCAGCTTCCTTCCTTGCTGTTGTTTTTCTTCTTCAGGCTCTAACTGAGCTGTGCTATAGCATTACTAGTAGCATGCTGTGCAAGGAGGATAAGCAGGAAATGTGCATATCTGATGGCACACTAAGAGGTTATTTCTGCTGCTGACATGAACAGATTCCTTCAACTGGTGACGCCACAACCAACACTGGGGATACCATAAGGCCTGGAGAGGAGACAGAGATCATTTTTTACTTTGAGGAGCACACGTAGCTCACAACGCTGCAATGCTGTTTATCGCAAGAGCATTCTCAATTTGGTGCACGTGTTTATTCGAAATGCTGAAAGAAAGAGAAAAACATCGAGGGTGGTTTCGGGGCCCCTTAGGCCAATTTATGAGGGCCTCGTCACGCTGTTGTATGTGGCTTATACAAAATCCAGCGAATTTTCTATTTGCTCCACTAGGAGCTATCCTTCCAGATAAGTGGCAAGTATGTAGCTAACGTACGTGCTCTCGGTGAACTTGTCCAGGGTGCAGGGCTTCTCCTGAAGAACGCGCTGCCGAATCCAGCGCTGGACGCGGCGCTCTGTCCACTCTAGTTGGCGGGCCAGCCCTTGCACCTGCTGGGTGCCCATCTTGCCATTGCTGAGGTATGCCTTCTCCAGCACATGGTTGTCGGGGGCCTTGCGCACCCGCTGTCGCAGGCCCAGCCGCACACCCAGTGGGCAAAACACCAGCCTGCGGGGAGACAAGCAAACATTGCCACAACAGGTAACCAATGAAATGGACACGCAAAAATGAAAAATTTCATCATGTCAGCCAAGCAGTGGCTGTGTCAATGCAGTTCTACTGACATGCTCTCTTAAGCCTAGTGGTTTCAGCCTGCAGGCTAGCACTCCCAGGATCACGCTCAGAAATTCCCAAAAGCCGCCAGGCCTACGTGGAATGCACAGCACAGTCACAGCAAATGCTAGAAAAGTGTCCTTTCAGAGCCCTTGTAAAACACGCTTTGTGCAATTGCTATAGACTTGCAGAGTACCCCCTACACCATAAATTACCCTAATTTTTGTGTGGTAGAGGAGCATGGACTGCTACATACTTGCAAGAAATTCTGTGCAAATTTTTTATGCTGTGGCTGATGAAGATGAAGAATTACAGTTGAACTCCTTTATAAGAGGCATGCTCCGAACAGCAGTTCTTGTCTTTTATATGAGATGCCTCTTATAAGCAGGGTACCTCGTATGCATTTGCTTAACCAGTGTTTTACTGTAGGCACACTGGTGTCTTGCATATCAGTGTCTCTTATAGAGGGGCTCGAAGCTTTTGCAAAGGGTTGGAGCATTCGATGACCCACTCGATACGCAATTCGCATTGTGTGGCACCTGGTTACTGCTTTGCTATTCCAAAATGCTTGATTACTCATTAATGAGATTCCTTTCCCGACATCAAGCCTGCCTAGAGTCAGTTTGCAACATAGCACAGGCGTGGCTCTGTGGTATAATACTGGGCTCGCCCACAGGAGACCCTGGTTCGAATCCCATTGTGTCCTGGGTGTTTTTCATTACTTAGTGCATTTTTTCTTATTTGGCTTGATAGCGGTTACGGACACCAGCAGTGGACAACCATGGCGCATGCCAACCTTGCTATGATCTCGTAACAGCTTTAGCTGTAATAAAGCAGAGAGACAGGAGGACAACCGCCACCGTAGCTCAACAGGTAGAGCACCGGACACGTTATTGGAAAATTGTAGGTTTGGTCTCTACGAGCATTGGCACATTTTCTGTATGTCCACTTTAATTTCTTTTTTATTTATGTAATAATTACAACACTACAGTTACAAAACTACAAATTATATTCTCTATACCTTTCTTTGATTCATTATCTATTGGTTTCATAAGTGGTGTTTGAAAATAAAAACGAGGCCTTGATCCATTCTGCCTTTTGTTCCTACTTAGCCATGCTTATGCAATACCCCTTGGTTAAATTAGGTTGCACATACGCATGCTAAAAAAAAAAAAAAACTGCTCGAGGCTCTCAAGAGAGTCATCCTGGGAAAAAAGAAGGGGGAGGGGGGGGTCCCCACCATGAGGCCATTTACACAATTGATTCACATGCTGAGCATACTACATTCGGTAATACGAGATTTTCTACTATATGTCTGCACATAGTTATTTTTGTCAAAAGTTTCTTACATGCCGTCCACAGTGTACCTGACGCTACCTTTTTTTCCTATTACATGTACGTGCTGTATACTTACTACACTGCATGCAAGTGACCCACATGCACACACTGTTCATTCTCGAGGTCACAAGTATGTGAACCAATATTATGAAGATTGACACCCACCACAATGAAACAGCTGCTGTAACAAATGTGCTAGCATAGTACACTAAGAATAAAAAGCCTCAAACAATAAATGCTATCATATCCCTGACATATGTCTAAGGCTTGCGTCACCCAGCCATTCTCACAAAAGGGAAGAACAAGCATGAGGAAAAGTAGGCTAATTTGGAAATTGCTTCACAGCAAGACTGCACGATGAAGAAAAAAGTTTTTTTAATCATTCAGGACTAGTCAATTCGACAGGAGAAAAGATAATTGCTCCCACAATAACAATAGTACAACTACACAATTGCAACAGCATCGCATTAAGTGATCTCACTACAACAGCGAATTCATTTACAAGATTTGTTTGTTTGCTGCTTTAATATTTACAACTTTACAGGTGCTGTAAATCTGTAAGCATGCTAGTACAGAATACTCCCTTTCTTCGTCCATAGGTTTTTTTCAGTTACGCTACAAGATCTCAGCATGACCTCTCTCCTGCCTTAAAGACAAGGAGTAATACTCATGGAAATTTCTAGCTTGTTTGAATGAACTACGTCTTGCGGTGCAACTACTACACTGTGGTTCTATATAGCTTCTCGATGAGCTGCAAAGCTTTAATAGTTATGGTAACGTGCATTGAACGTATTCTACAAGATCAAAGACAGTGTTGCCACCTTTTAATTATACCAACTGAACATTGCTGTGGAAAAGAATTATTAAGCAATATCAAAATACTTCCACGCTTCAGTACAACTTGTATAATCATTTGCGAGGGCGATCAAGGAGCGATTTCAAGGTTTAGGGTTTTAAAGTTTGAGATAGTAATGCAAGTGAGTGATCATCAAGGTCATTTATCACTCTAACCAAGACTGTACAACTGGCAGAGTCGTTGTTTCCTTAATCTTTGTCTCCACCCCTTTCCCCAAATTCAATTCATTAACAGGCTACATTTGCACTTATGTTTAACAAGCTTTCCTAGTAAAGGTGCAGTAGCATTTTTAAGATGTGAAGCATCTCTTGCTCAGGCTCATGCCCCCCAGCGTCCACACTCAACTGCCCACGTGAAACTTCTTTCCTCTTCAACCTTCCCTCCCCGCCTCCTTTTCGCCTCACAACACCGACGCAACGAGCATCTGCTAACCTACACTCGCTCTCCGCTAGGCATTCCTCCCCACAATGTTTATACTGCCACTGCACATGCGTGTCCCCTTCCCCCTGCTCTTCTTTCCCTCCTATGCTCCCCCTCTCTCATCTCACAACTATGCAGGCAGCGTCTGCTAGTGAATTTCTCGATAAAAAAAAAAATAATAAGAAGACCGCTCGCGCTGCACAACCCTTCACTGGCCACTCCGTATATGTAGGCGCTATATCTTTACCTCCAAGATAGTGCCGTTGGGAGATTTCTCATATGCGTTGTTGAAAAAAAAAAATTCGCAGAGCGAGCGTTAACTAAAAGCAGACGGAGTCTCTGTGTCTAATCGGAGTCTCCTGTCTCTCATTGCCCACTAGCAGCCGACTGAAATGTTCCAGAAGGAAACACCGATCCATCACTGCATGCTTTGTGTCTCTTCAGGTTTCTCTCCTGCGTAATGACACTATGAGTGCCAGTGTCAACGCCGCAGCCAGTGTAAGCGTTAGCACCTGCTGCTTTGCCTCTGTACATGGATTCCCTTTAGCGGAAGGATGGTGTAATTTTTGTATCGTTCATTTGCAATGAAGCCCGAAGAAGGAAATTGCGATAAAGGTACTACTGAAGTGTCAAGTATGGAAAACACTTTACCCTATCTCATGCTATACTTTGCTCCATCATATGAATAGACTTCAGAAATGAGGGTGCATAAATGGCCAGGTTGCTTATTGTGAATGTTTTATTAAACACCATCCAGTTGTTGACGAATCCTGTTGACAACACGAATATTTCAAGGCCAGTGAGACGACATGTTTACCAGATATATACAAATAATAGCAAAGTACATAATTTCCATGCATGATGGTCAGTACTCAAAAACAACAAAAACCTTCTCCATTAATCTAGCAAAATGTGATCTTAAAGCGACAAACAACTGCTCAGAACACGAATTGTCATAATGAGAAGCTTGCATATGCTATCGTCTAATGCCCTGTCACATAGGCAAATCTAATTGAATTTCATTTGTTTTCAAAGTTATTTGTTTGCTATCACACGGCCAAACTACGGTATTGCCATTCGATGAAAACATTTTGTGGAATAAGTTTCCTGAACTCATTCGCATTTGATTTTGGACCAAATGAGTAGTACCGACGCCAGGGTCCTTAATTGATTAACTTATTACCAGTTTGATGATGTAATAAAGCACAAGAAAGTTACTAAAAATTACTAGACAAATAAAAATGCAGAGGATAATTACTCACATAAATTACTATCAGTGCTGTAAATACGAACAAGCTACAACATTAACAGAGGAAGAAATTGCACCCCAAAAATGAGTGAATTTCATAAACATGACATTTTTCAAAAATTAAAAATATTTAGGTTGCCCAGAATTCGAAAATATCAAGTGAGCTACTTCTTCATTACTTCTAATTGAGCTAGGCAAGAAGATATTTGTGATATATAGTTTGCAACTGCTGTTAGCATGATCACGAATTCACGAAAACGCACTTTTCGTAAAATGGCCTTCGTCCCCCGGCGATGCTTAAATTTTTCTTCATTCAAAAAATTTTTTATTTGAAAACAAAATGTGACCTTGAGCCATTCAGTCATACGGGCCTAATATAAAAAAATACGAGGAAAATCGGAGATGTCAAGCATACCACTTTTTCTCATTCGTGGAATCGACCTCCTGTGAAAGCAGAACCTTGAGTGTAATGCGAGGAGGGCTATCGGCATCACTATCGCTTCACAATGTTACTAGAGGGTGCCTTTGTCCACTATATAAAAGCTTATCAGATAAAAAAAATGCTAATGCTACTTATAAAATAACCAGATACTTTCGGGAACAATCGTTGCAGCTAAAAACAGCAACGAGTGACCTTTCTGCCACATCGTAGAAAACTGGCTCCAAAAAATTGGTTGTCGGCCCCTTCAACATTTTGACATTGTCACACAATCGTTCTTTCCATTAAGATTAAATTAAAAGAAATGTCACACCAGGACATTCAAGTGTCCAATCAAAAGCTAGCAACACGACACGTGTCTGTGAGGGGGTAGTCAACTATCTTGAATATTTGAGAAGTGCTTGACGTCATGAAAATGAGCAAGCGCTATTCGATGGCGACTTTGTCCTGTTGCCGGGACCACAATGCTTGTTAGCGAACTCATTTTCCTATGTTGTAACAGGGTACTGTACAGATGTATGTTATAAAAAATCAGCGCAAACAAGACTGAGCACAAGGACACCGTACGAGCTCTGCCTAGCCGACTGAAGTTT